AGATTAAGAAGAATATAGCCTGTATATTAACAACATATAAGATGTGAATAGACAGGAAAAGACTAAAGGAAAAATAAAAAATATTAAGGTGAGTGGGAAAGTCACACACACACACACACACACACACACACACACACACACACACCACTCAGGATCTGTATCCTCTTCCTCTCCAATATCTCTAGAGGCAGGTCTGCCTCTCCACCCGAGCGTGCCCACTTTCTCTCCTTCCCAGAGGAGATCCTAACATCAAAATCTTTTCTCGAGAATCTGCTAAGTCCCTCATTTTAATACTCTCTGTCCCTCCCTCCCCCTCTCTCTCCCTTTCTGTCTCCCCTCTCTTCCCTCTCTCTTCTCTCTCTCTCCCTTCATAATCTCTCAGATTTCCTGGGTGACCATTTCTGCCATGGTTGTTTTATCTTTGGAGTCATTCTCTCAATTTCCCTTTGGGGAATAATGCCTGGGGACCCTATACTAAGAGACTAGTACACTTGGCGAGGATGCTCATGGCCCCTTGCTTCAGTGGCATGTCAAAGGCAACATGATTCCCTTTCATCTTTTAATAAATAGTCATTCTAGGAAAAACAGAGCTGCTTGAAAGGATGCCCATCAAAGGGAGACACGGCTGTAAATCCTGGCTTAATGTGATGCAGACTTGAGCTTCTACCTCACTCTGTATTATTAGGTACCAAAGATGCTTTAACCAAGGAAGTAAATGTTGCTGTGAATGACTGTTTTAACCAACAGTCCTATGCTTAGAGACCTCCTCTCCTTTAAAGTCACGTCCTCAGGAGGGTTATGAGAACAAAGTAACCAGCATTCATTGCAGCGAAATCTGGTAAATATTTCACAATTGATTTTTTTTTTTTTTTTTTTGCACTGTTAGGAAAAAACCCTGATTTGGAAATGGCCAATTTCTGTGATGTAAATTCTCTTCCTGTACCATTTCAAGTTACCAGTTTAAAAATCTGGCTTTTAAAAATCCGTGAAACCTAATCACCATCCCTTAGGCACCATATACACCAGTGTCAACGTTATCACTGAACAGCTTGTGACAGATTCCCTGTGCTGTGCAGATGCTCCTGATGAAATACTAGCTTTCAAGAGGAGAGCTCTGTATGGTAGCTCTACCTTTTTGCCAAATGGCAGAGAAAGCATTATGCAGAAGACATCATCTTCCTTGTGTCCAGGCCCAGCACCAGCAGCATGTGGGTCCATTCCTACAGCAATGTAGTAGGGTCAACCTGAAGCAGTCCCCTATGCATCAGAGCATTGGATTCGACCACAGAGCACTCTGGTCCACCTAGTGCTCTTGTGAACATTTCTGCTTTCTTTAATAGTCTCTTTCTCCTCTTCAATAAATCCCTTTTGTGTTTTGATTGAGCGAAGTAAATTCTCTTAATTGCAAACAAGAATGTCTGCTGATTATAGAGGACCCTTCTGTTTCAGGCAGAGAGATACCCACAAGCATAATTAAATATGACTGCTAACACTCTGTCTTTAGAGCTTAAGCTTTTTTCCATGAGAGTAAAGTCGGGCTTCATTCAATCCCATGTGCTTCCCACCAACAGTAGTGCCAAGAAGAAACAACCTCATGCTGGAATCACTCTGCAGCTGAAGATGTAGGAGTGATATCGCCTTGTGTGTACAATGAAGCATCTCCTCAAAGTCCTTAAGACCCTCTGAAGACATCAGTCATGGGTCTTTTGATAACTTCTCCCTGATAATTAGTTCCATGAACTTGGTTTTCTATTTATTTTTTAGTCCACTTCTTCCCATGGTCCCTGAATTGCTTGTTAAAAATTATTTCTTCCTTGCCAGACCTGAATCAGAAACTCTGCAGTAACTTCTAGGAGTGTAATTTTCAAATTGCACTCAACTTTTTGTTTGTTTGTTTGAGATAGTTTTACTGTGTAGCCTGGAATTCAACATCATCCTGCCTCAGCCTCCTGAGTGTTGGGATTATAGGCATGCCCCAACCACCACAAACAGCTTAAAATTTCTGAGAACAAAACTTTCTTATTATTATCATCAGGTAAAGTATTTTCTTCCCCTCTCAAATATGTATGCGTGTGTGTATGTATGTGTGTGATTTTAGTAGAAACTCCTAGGTTTTTAACAATAATTACATGTTTAGACATGACAAATATAACATTCATGAGCAGTTTAATAAAATTTTTCAGACTATAGTTTTGGATTAATAAAAACCCTTCAAAATCCCTAGCGAATGTGAACAAGAGTTGAGTTCCAATCAATCTTTCTGAAAGTTGCTATCTCCTTCCTTCTTTCTGGCCACTGTCAGGAATTTCCTGTCTTCCACAGGATCCTTGCCTCAGCAGAGGTATGCCAACACCACTTTTGTAGCTAGAGTTTTCCTGCCTTGCCCACAGTCAGGACAAATCTCTGTCTACCGCCAGTCCCACAGCCGCTCAGACCCAACCAAGTAAACACAGGGACTTATATTGCTTACAAACTGTATGGCCATGGCAGGCTTCTTGCTAACTGTTCTTATAGCTTAATCCATTTCTATTAATCTATACCTTGCCACGTGGCTCATGGCTTACCAGCACCTTCACATGCTGCTTGTCTTGGCGGCGGCTGGCAGTATCTCCTTCGGCCTTCCTGTTCTTTCTTTTCTCCTCTGTGTTAGTCCCGCCTATACTTCCTGCCTAGCCACTGGCCAATCAGTGTTTTATTTATTGACCAATCAGAGTAATTTGACATACAGACCATCCCACAGCACACTGCCATGTGATTGTGTTCATGGCAACTCCCCATCTCTAAATGCTGTCATGCATGCTGCTTATCAGGGCCCAGACACAGAAGCCTGTCACCTGAAGAAAGAGAACAGGGCCTCGGAGTCTATGTTAGAAGAGAGGTGTTGTTGCTTTACTAAATGCCTATGCTGACAAATTGTTTTCTAAGTATTTATGCTTATACCCATATATTAATGCAGCTCTCAGTCTTGGCCAGAGAATCTGTTTCTACAGCTGGAATCGGTTACTACAAAGGCTCATACTGGTCAGAGTGCTAATAAGTTACAGTTGAGGTTGAGTGTTCAGGCCTAAAGAGGACATCTATATTACATACAAGCATACAGTCATGTGCACACACGTGGGTTTGGGTAATGTCACAGAAGAAGGTACGAAAAGGATGTAGGATCCAGAAGATGGAGAGGAGTGCCATAAAATGCTGCGTTCTGGGAGTGGCGTGCCCATTGCACTTGGGAACTCACTGAAACCATGGCTACCTGCACAAGACCTGCATAAGATCAAGCCAACTAGAACAACCAACATTCCAGCACACAGAACCAATCAGACTCAGCTGGGTTACAAGAGAAGCAAAAGGAGAAAACATGAAGATGGAGGGGGACATGTGGAGGAATAACCACGGGAAGTAGGAAGGGAGAGTTGAGGATGGATATTATTAATGTGTACATCTCTGAAATTGTCAGATAGCTAAAAGATTATTTTTAAAGAGTGTTGTCAACAGCTACAGGAAACAGGCCAGAAAATACCTTATTACAACCTGTCAGATTCGATGTCCCCACGACCCCCACCACTTTCTCCTAGACAATAAAACTGCTCCTGTCAAACCTGGCGTTTAGCATTGGGTCCCAGCATCATCAGCAGTAAGCCCTGGCTGGACAGCACTGCCGTCTCTATGAAAGCCAGGAAGTCCAGTTGACCTTGTGCCTGTCACCCCTCTGCCTTCTCTGCCCCTCTGTTCCTGTGGCACTGTCTTGAGAATCTGCCGATAACAGAGAAGGGCAAATCAGAGCCACATCCCAAAGCTACTCTGAGGGCTGAAACAACCCTGATGGAAGGCTGTGCCTGTTCTGATGGCAGATCCTTGAAGAGGGCTGAGCTCGCCTTTCCGAAGAGATGTGCCTCTCTGCTCGGCTTTCTTCGTGTGTTTTTGACAGTTATTCTTATGAATAAATGGATTGTTTGATGATTCCTGGATTTTCTTCTCAGCAACCAACATAGAAAAGAAAAAATGCAAATGAAAATGTTAAGCCCTCAGACCGCTACTTACAAATGGTCTTAAGAAACGCGCTTCTCACACAGCTCTCTGACTGATATGTTAGCCATTTTTCTTATCTTGCGTGTGTAGCTACAAGCTCCCCACTCTCATCTTACAAACTGCAGCCACTTGTCAATCTCAGCACAATGGACATGTGTAAAGGGATAGTCACTTGGTACGGGCAGCTGTCCTATACATGGACATACCGTGGCAGGTACCATCACTATAGCCCACCCCAGGGTACTAACCAAAATGTCAACTGATCTACAGATGGTAAACTTGCCCCTTGATTCAGAGCCACTGACTATACTGGGCCGACACAGAATGGATTCCTGGAAGGCCATGAGGAGGGGAGTGGGAGGAGGCAGGATGCTGGCGAGCACAGAAATGTCACTCTGGTGGGGGAAGGAGGACATGTCAGTAGATGTAACAACTGACCTAGATTTAAACCGAGAACCTCTGTGGTCAGAAATCACGCCCTGTTTGTCACTCACCCCATGGAGCCTTCCCACCCAGTGGCTCACAGTCTGAAGTTTCTCGATGGATCATTTGAAGCTAATAAACGCACCATCCAGTCTTCTGTAAAAGATTCTCTGGCTCACGAGGCACTGTCCGCATTCGCTGCCGTGGGCCCCTGCACTTGCAGAGGAGATGCATGAGGAAGAGCTTCAGCCACTGTCCGTCGGTGAAGAGGTTTGAAGAGAGCTGCCACTGGGGTCTTCTCTGCCCCGGAGCAAGTTTGCATAACATGCAAGTCTGTACAAGAACTTTCAAAGTCTAATGTATTTTCTACTATGAGATGAATCAGAAGTGAATTGCAGGATCTGGCAATTTTTTCCTGAAATTTCATGGACTTAAGATAATCCACTTTACTTGCCCTGAACTCCTCTGCACTAAAGCACTGCTGTTGACTGGTGGGGTTCACTTTCTTCTTCCGGCTCTAACCGGTTGCCCGTTTCCCGTTTCCTGTTTCCCCGGGAAGGAAAAGCTCCAGCTGGGACAACAGCTCACTGTGCAGACTCTTCCTGTTGAGCAGCCACACTGTCCGCTGTCTTGGGGCCACTGGGTACACAACCATCTTTCTGCTCTCTCCTTATTCCTCTCTGGCCCCTCCTTTGGGAGGGGCTGGGGATACACAGGGTGCAGCCCAGGGGCTTACACGTGATAGGAAAGCACTCCTCTCCAGAGCTCTGTCCCGGCTAGTCCAGTCTCAACTCTGTTGCTCTGATAAAATACCCTAACAAAAGTATATGGGTCAGGGAGGAACGGCCCTGGAATTACAATCCCAGGGAAGTCACAGTGGGAACCCAAAGCGTCACATCCACAGTCCAGAGTGGAGAGAGACACACACAGGTTCCCTCTGCCTACTCTGCATGCGCTCAGCCGGCTTCCTTCTCCCTTAAGTAGTTCAAGACCCAGTGCACAAAATGGTGGTTCTCCCACACAATTAGCAACTAAAACAATTCTTCCACAGACATACCCACGGGCCAACCTGATAAAGACAATTCCTCAATCGAACTCTCTTCCCAGGTAATTACAGGTGGTAATTTTTTTTCTTTTTAAACATTGAATTACTTTGTAATTACTTTTAATATTTTTATTTATGTGTCTATGTGTGTGTCAACGTTATATGTTTATAGATGCCCAAGGCAACCAAAAGAGGGTATCCTAACCCTTGGAGCTGAAGTTACAGGAGGTTGTGAGCTGCCTGACATGGGTAAGAAGGAGTAAGCACTCCTAACCTCTGAACCACATCTCTACCCCTGGCTACAAGTTAGCATTTTAAACTAACTTCAAGTTAATACCTGAAACTAACCATCAGCCTCCTTATTGACTTTAAAAAAAGAAAAAAATTCTACTACATTTCTTTATTTTATAGGGGAGGGTGTATACATGCCATGTGTTCTTGTCCAGGTCAGAGAACAATTTGTGGGAAGCTGCTTTCTCCGTTCTGTGGGTCCCTAGGATCAAACCCAGGTCATCAGGCTTGGCAGAAAAATGTCTTTAACTGCTGAAACATCTTGCTGACACTCGTTGACTTTTATTACTGATACGTGTGTGGACTGAAATGAAATAGAGAGAGCTCCTTCCAGAACAGTGCAATGAGCATCTCCAAAGTTCTCCTTAAGAAATTTCAATTAAAGCAATGTGCTGTGGGACAGTCTGTATGTGAAATTGCTCTGATTGGTCAATAAATAAAACACTGGTTGGCCAGTGGCCAGGCAGGAAGTAGGTGGGACAAGGAGAGAGGAGAATTCTGGGAAGTGGAAGGCGGACGGAGAGAGACATTGCCAGCCGCCATGACCAGCAGCATGTGAAGATGCCGGTAAGCCACCAGCCACGTGGCAAGGTATAGATTTATGGAAATGGATTAATTTAAGCTGTAAGAACAGTTAGCAAGAAGCCTGCCACACCATACAGTTTGTATGCAATATAAGTCTCTGTGTTTACTTGGTTGGGTCTGAGCGGCTGTGGGACTGGCGGGTGACAAAGATTTGTCCTTACTGTGGGCAAGGCAGGAAA